AACATAACATGACATTACTGAAAATTAGTTTAGAAAGGAAATTATGATACAACGAAGATGGCCAGTCAATGGATTAAAATGTTGGTATTAATCAATTCTATGTGTAAATAACAAGTGTAAATTTTAAATTTATTTTAAGTTACACATTAAGTGCAAGTAAGTAGTAAATTTGTTGTCTCGTCTGTTACGCTGAACTGTATCAGATAATCTTGGGAATGATGTTGGATTATTTTTCACATAGAGTCATGTTTCCAAAATATACAATGATGGAAGGCTTAAAATGCCGTGATTATAAGTATGTTAGGTTTTGCAAGTCATATCAGAGCCCATCAAAAGCTGAAGACGCAGGAGTCGCCATCACCGACCATCAGCTTATGATTTATCAGTTAAATTGCCCAAAAAAAATATACTATATCTTAATGCGGAGGCCACTAATCCGTGATAAGCAGTAAGTAAGGTATCAAAATTTACCGTTGGAGCAAGTTTATACAGAGCGTCTACTGAATGTATCACTAAGAGTACTAATATGTTCTTTCCAATTCAATTTTTTTTCTATGATCAAACCAAAAAACCCATATTATCATAGTTTATATTCATTAGCTGGATAAAATACATTATACTGTTTGAAAAGTAACAATTCAGAAGATTTAAAGTGTTTCCCCTTATACCGTAGCACTCTATTTTGTTTTTTAACCGACTTCAAAAAGAGGAGGTTATCAATTCGGATGTTTATATTTTTTATGTATGTTCGGGGCATAACTCCGTCACATATTGATGGATTTTCAAAATTATGTTTTTGTTTGACAGTAGTTTATTCCGAAATGGTCCCATTTAAATTTCATAAAAATGTGATGATGTGTTTTGAATACAGACAAAGGAACTCTTCAAAAAATGATAGCAAATTAACCACGACTGCTGCTAGGGTTTTAGTGCTATTAAAATATAAACTTACTCTCACACTCCTTATAAACCAAAACAAAAGGTTGGTTAAATATCAAATATAGTTTAATTTATTTAAACATTTTTATCATAAGATAATGACCGACTATGATATTTCCGTTTACCTACGCACTGTGGACCGGTAGAATGGGAAGAAATTTCTGCAGTTGAAGTTACGATACACGCCTTACGGCCATATCTTACGGTCGCCAAAGATACCAAAGTGTAGTGTCCAGTTCATTACATACATACAACAACAGAGCATTCTTTAATGGTCACTGTAGTAATTAAAATAGATTTTGCTAAGCTTAGACTTACACCTAAGTGTAAGTCTAAGCTTAGCAAAATCTGTTGTCTAAACAACAGAGAATTATTTAATAATAATGCTCTGTTGTTTTAACTACTTCAATGACCATTGGGTCACTGAAGTAATTAAAATAGAATTTGCCAAGCTTAGACTTATCCTCGCTAAAAGAGTCGAAGCTGAAAGTTTTAACTAACTTGTAGTACTAAACTAAGTAAAGTAGGAACACACTTGACACAAACCCTATACCATATAGTACTATAGTAGGCCAAAACCCTTTTTCTAAGGAGAGTCATATGTCCAGCAGTGGACTATTCCAGGCTGTTGATGTGATGATGTGACTAAACTATTGTGCAAATTTTTCAAACCACTTACTTGTAAAAAAAGAAAAGGCCTTATTGTAAACATTATTATTGTAAACAAATATTTCTAACTTCTAACGAGTACTCGTTTGTAAGTACATCAGATGCCTTTAAGTTGTTGCTAAAATTAACATCTACAAGTAATATTAAATCCATTGTTGTCTTTTAGGACTGCACCAGTTTTAACCAGAACAAGCGCAATGCCAGCAGGTTTGACTTAATTATATGAATGTTGGTGTGGTTTTATCGTTTTCTTGAAACGAGTTATTGGATTTCAGTATATAAACTGCCGATTCTTGATTACAAACATCAGTAAACATTCAACTACTTTGGTTTAAAAAAATATAATGTCTACAAAGGTAGTGTATATAAAAATATCAACGAAATACATGCTACTTAGAAAAACGTTATTTTAATAATAACAATGGTCACTAATTTATTGTTATTTCTTTAGATTTTACTCATCGCCGCTGTTGCGGTTGTAGCCGTCGCTGCTCAAAATCACCACCACGGCCAAGATCACGGTCACGCTTACTCGTCTCAGAGCATCGTACTTCATCAAAACCACGAGCATGCTCCCGCTCCCCATCAGGAATATCACCACGATCATCACCATGGCCACCACGAGGAACACAACCATGGACACCACGAGACACACCATGTGGAAAGCCATGGTCATCATGAGCACCATGACAATGAACACCACGGACACGCCTACTCATCACAAAACCTTAAGCAGCACCATGACGGACACGTCACTAAACACGTCGAATACTACGTATGTATGATATCATTAAGATCATTTATATTTGATTAGATATAAATGTATATACTTATTAAACCAATATGATATATAGGCCCACCCTAAATACGAGTTCGCCTACGAAGTGAAGGACCCCCACACTCACGACCACAAGTACCAGCACGAGCACCGCGATGGTGACGTCGTGAAGGGAGAATACGGCCTGGACCAGCCCGATGGCACCGTCAGGATTGTGAAGTATTATGCCGACAAAAAGAGCGGGTGAGTAAATATACTATTATGAATTGTAATCTACACTTATTTAAGAATCTGAAGAGTTTGTTTGTTTGATTGAAGCGCTACTCTTTTACTGTTGGATAGCCCGTTTATCGAGGAAAGCTATAGTCTATAGATCATGCGCTAGAGCTCCTAGACCTATAGGAACTAAGTTTCCATCAAACATGTTGCAAAAACGTGTGTATTCTTTTTGGGAGACTCAGACGAACTTACGCGGGTCAGCTAGTGACTTATATGTCTGTAATTTATTTGATTAACTGATTGTTTTTTGTTAAAACAGGTTCCACGCAGATGTGAAGTACGAGGGTCATGCTAAACATGTTGCTCCTGAACATCAACCTCATCACTGAACTTGAACTGCCAAAATTGAGTCGTTATTTCTTGTTTATTATGTTTGAACACTATTTTGTTAACATATTTTTAAATAATTTATTGAAATTGTATGTAGCAAAAAATTAAATATATTTTTTAAATGATGTCTTGCTTTTTTTTTATTTTATTTTATCTAGTGACTTGAAATCAAAATCATTTACATATTTGAAATATATTAATTATAGGCATTTTTGAATTAACGAGTAGAGTAGTGATCCGTGTGGTGACGGATTAAGAATACGGAATGTCACCACCCCTATTCATCCTGTGGGTGTCGTAAGAGCCGACTAAGGGAGCAAATTACGCGGGACAACAGCGCTGTAAAGAGAAGAAAAACTTGAAACAAACCCTGTACCAACCCGTCTGGCCAGCGTGGTATAGTAGGCCAAAACCTCCTTTCTAAGGAGAGGCCTATGTCCAGCAGTGGACTGTTATAGCCTGTTGATGTGATGTGATGTGAGTAGAGGAGAAATGACAGTCATATCAAGTCAGTCGTGAAGTTAATTTCTGTTGTAATGCGTTAATCTTAAGGAGAAATTATGAGGACACTCTTTTACAGTATATTTTGTTCTATGTTATTTATTGTTTAGATAATAACCAGCCCTAAACTTGCTACTTTGTGTTAGTTATATTAGTTCTTAGATGTCCAGCCCTGTGCGGTCACGACCTTAATAGACGCGTCAGGCATTGTTTAGCTGAACCATGTCAAAGAACCATACCAGAACATAGGAAATAACCTTTATATGTGACTAGACCGTTATCACATGAACAATTTCAAATGTTGTTCTAGTGGTTAATGGACCACTAGAAAAATAAGCCAATCAATATTCTAAATAAATGATTTCAATCGTATAACACCTTCAATATCAACATATATTAAAGACGATGTGAAGTAGGGAACAGAATTTAAAGATAATTTGACTGATGAGCTTTACCAGCATTTCGCTAATCTTTCATATCAGCTTTCTAAGTCTCATTTAATCATTCTTTCTCATTTAATCAAGAATATTATAAGGTACGTGTTTTATTTTATTACGTATTTTATTATGTATGTATTTTATTCGAGAGTTTAACATAGTTTCCCAACAGATTTATTAATTTTTATTAATTTTGTTTTGTTATCATCTGTCTACTTTTAAATCTAATTATGACCTAGCAAGTAAAATCAACCTCCTTTCTCAGGAGAGGCTTATGTCCAGCAGTGGACTATTTAAGGCTGTTGATGATGATGATGATGAAGTAAAATTAGTTTAAATTAGGTAAAAATGGATGTCACTTGATTATTCAAAATGATTTATGGATGCTACGTTTTTTTAACCTCTAATTTACGGTTATATTCGTAATCTGATAATTAATCTTTAATTACTTAACTTGGTTAAGACTCACATGATGACTGATAGACATATTATTATTTAATCAAAACTTTGTTTGAAGGCGTACTCGTACTCTGAACTGTCTTTCTCAGAAGTTAAAATGTCGTCCAAAACATCAGTGAAGATTTGACATCAGTTTCTTGTCAGTCATTGAATGTAAATAATGGTAATTATTTACTGTTATTGAAATAACTGTCATGAAAAATATTTCTTATTCTCCGAATCCATGTTAATTATATTACAATAAATTCTCTTTTCAATCGATGCAATACTACTTCAATTCTTATTTCAAATTAATGCTTTGTTGTTGTTGCCGTGATTGTCTTTTCTATTGCAAGAAAATGTTTATACTGTCATACAGTGTTTAAGCAACGTTGGCATTATTTCATTACAACTTTTTTATATTATCTATTATTATTAGATATGTCTCAACCACTGCATAATATTTTTTTTAATTTATACTCCCGTGCAGTGCCTACTTAAAGTGAAATCAGTTTTACCTTGACTAGTTTATTATTGATATAAAAGACATTGAATTTTATCACAATGTGTCAGTTCACTATTGGTGTTAGAATCATTAGTATAAACAGTTCAAAAAATTAACCTTAAATATGTTCTCAAAGGTAAAATGATACATTTAAAAATACTGGAGTGTGTTTTTTTACGTCTGTCAAGTGATTCAGCATGTTGGATTTCAGTTTAGTTGAAATAACTCAATTATTTTCCGGTGAAAAGAAGAAATATATTCTATACATCAGTAAAGATACATTCGAAGGAAGAAACAGGCGGAGGAAAATACAAAGCTAAATAAAAATAATATTCTAGATTGATTCATATTACGGGGCACTTACCTACAAATAAACAGTAGCCAAACCCGATCGAGCCTTAGTTCAAGTCACAATGGTGAAACAGACCCACAAAGTGCCCTTGACATTAGACCGTTTGAGAAAGGGGTATAATCCGACTTAATCAATTGGAGTGATGCTGATAAAATGGTCCTGCATCTCTAAATGTATTGCCGTACTTACAGTCCTCTTAGTCTTCTCTTCGAGTGAACAAATACTCCAAGTTAATATAACTTTAAACAGTAAATGTTATTTATATTTCCTCTTCTAGGTTTTCGTCCTCGTGGCAGTGGTTGCTTCTCTGGAGACTGTGCTTTGCCACGGGATCTCCTCACAATTCATCCACCGCCATGATGGTCCCGCCCATCCAGTCCATGTGGCTGGACACGATCACGGTCATTCGCATGGACATGCTATTGACTATTATGTAAGTTTTATGTATGAATTAAAAATGTGCTTTTTTAGAAGAGGTTAAAAAAAACACGATAAATATTTTGGTTAAAAGATTTCGATTCATAATTAAAAAAGTCAGTGATAAGTACCTACTCATAAATATTACTCTGTATTATAAATATATCAATAAGTTATACCGGTAAAAATAGCAAATGTTCATGTTTAACACAGTATTTATCCTGGGTGGGAAACGTACTCCCCCTCGCGTCGCTTAGCAATCAGATTTTAGATTCACTAAACCAATAGCTCCGTCAAATAGAAAATAGTTACATATATATAAATCTGTCTACAGGCTTACCCTAAGTACGAATTCGGTTATAAAGTAGAAGACCCTCATACCGGTGACATCAAATCTCAACACGAGCACCGCGACGGTGATGTCGTCAAGGGATACTACGCCCTACATCAACCCGACGGCTCTGTCAGACACGTTGAATACCATGGTGACAAGCATTCTGGGTATGTATATAGTCGTACCATTTATTTATACATTTTAATAGGATAAACTGATATCTTCAGATGATATCCATGCCTTGGTGTCCCCTAGGTGTCCCTGGCCTCTTAGAGCTACTACGAATCTGAAACTCAGTTCCTATTCTAGATTTACAGTATCCCTTACTCTAGCTTCCTTGCCTTATCCAATTTCTTTAACACAAAATGACTGACAAATTGATAACATAACTATGTTCGGTTTCTTGTTTCAGTTTCCACGCTGATGTAAAACACGGCACCCACCACATCGTACCCTACCACAACAATCACCACTACTGAACAGTTAAAATGATAAATATTACATTGCCTGTTGAACATTCTGTGATTTAATGTTATGTTTATTTTGATATTTAGTACAAAATATATCCGCGACTGAATTATGTTTTTTTATTATACTACCATTCTGATGATCCACTGGAATAATCTTATCAAGACCTCAAAGTAATACTCGTAGATGTAATTTATACAAGGTTAGTTTAACTGTATACCCAAAATTAAATTCATTTTCAAAAGATCCAAGCAAAACCTAATATGAAATTTAAATGTAAAAAAAATAGTTTTAAAATTCTAAAATTCACGCTTGGTTTTCTATAAAAAGCGTGTTTTATAGTTTTTTTAAACAATTTTTTTTTAAATTAGTGTATTGTCATCGGTCCTCGATATATCTACAAAGTTTGAACGAATTCTGACCGTTTAAAGTCAGTCAAAATCACGCCCAAAGGAGTCGTTTACAAACAAACATACAAACAAACATACAAGTGAAGCTAATATAAAGCGTGTAAAAATAATCCATTTGTAATTTATCTTAGTTACAATAGTAAAGTGTTTATCTCCTCGCCTGAGATAAAGTGTTATTTTGTTAGAACAGAATAATGCTCTCCCCGTTACAAGAATGTTGCACTGCGTTCTCTTGATACTTCATCATCTCCTCTACTTCAATTTACCTATGTATTAAGACGAGAATTTAAAAATAGCTTATCAACCATTATTAAGAACTTCTGTTATTACTGCAAACATATAAAAGAAAATTAAGTAAAGTAATTGTAAAAATTCAAATTTTTGTTAATAGTGTTGAATTGCTTTATATACAAAAAAGGCACCCTATTAAAACTAAAAAATAAGGGTTTTTAAGTGAGGTACGTTGAGTTATAGAAACAAAAGTGCTATGTTGAACATTAATTTCAATCCAAACAATAATTGGTCTCCATGGAATATTTCAAAACACTGCTTTAGGAGCTTAGTAAGAATTGTCGTGGTAGGCAGTCAATCTTAAAAGACTAGAACTTGGAAGAACGGTTGTGTCATAGGACTCGGGCGAAGAGCTGGAAAAGGTCGGTCATAGTCTCAGAAGTAGATGTTTTAGTTAGATTACGTAAGATTTAATGTAAGTCTTTAATGGTATTTTTCTTAGTATTTGGTATTTGCTGAATGCTACTAGAATCATAAAGAAACTCTACTGTGAATAACCTGTTGCGTACATGTAACTGCTGGTGGTGCAATGGTAGCATATGCGACTGCGAGTTCGATTCCCGTGTCGGACCAAATGTTAATATGATCGGTAAATATTTGTTTCAGAGTTTGGGTGTTTTCTATGTATAATATGTATAAATTTATAAAAAATATATTTAAGAATTCTATCAGCCAAACTGGCTTTTATAACACAAGCTCTGCTTAGTTTGAAACTAGATGGCGTTGTGTGTTAGATATTCCAAATATTATATTATTAGCTATAGTCAGCCTCCACTAATAACACAGGAAAGCACTGTAGGCACCGTAATAGTTACTGATATAAATTGCCCTGTCAAGTAACTTATATTAAAATACTTACTAAACTAAAATGGTATATATACTATTTTATCATTATTAAAACTCTTTATTCAGCGAAAAAAAAACAAACCTTTTAGCGACTTCAAAAAAGCCACTATCTTTTTCTTTACAATTTTAATATACACGTACCTAGGGATACTAACATAATAAAGGTGTGCCTAGCGACTTATCATAAATCATTATTTAAAAACGGTTTAGGGACTGATATACATTCATACATATGTACACATGAGTGTAAGTATGTGATCTGATTAGCTTGAATGTACAGAGGACATCTTAAAATATGACAATAATGGCAAAGATATCGGCAAAATCATCACTTCTCTGCCGTGCGCCGCGCCACCGAAATCAATAGTGACATGAGCAATGTATTATGGATTCATTCTTGTTAAAAAGGTCGCTGTAATTCAATCTTCTAAGATTAGCACACAATAAGAGGAAAATGCTCTTTCCGTACAAAGCTGGAGTGGGAAGAAGAACTATGTACCTCAGTCCCAGTAACATAGTATTCGGATTTATAGTCGGGTTATTTAAATGTTAATTTATGTTGGAGTATTGAGTTGAGTTTCGTTACGAAATTAAAGGCTTTCCCTTTATTCAGGGCAACGAATAAAATACTACTTTCATGTAACTATCATGCTTCTTGTAAAATGGTGTACAAATAAAGAGTTCTATCTATCTATCTATCTATCTACTACCAATTCGATATACGATAAACGAATACGGTAAACGCCTGTTTCAGTGACAAGAGTTATGTTAAAATCCATTGATTAGAACAACTCAGAATTGTTCAGAGGTCAATGAAGTAATTAAATCGGATTCTGCTAAGCAGATGTAGCCGCGCTAGGAGAGTTGATGCTTAAGTTTGGATGAAAAATATAGTAGATATTAAAGGAATGTTTAGATTTTTCAAATCACGTAGTATTTCTAACTTTAAAAGGGCTTCACAAATATTTCTAACGAGTACTAATTTGAAAGTTCATCAGATGCCTTTAACTCTTTGCCAATAAAGTTGGAATAAGCTCTTAGTAAATTAACGTATTTTAGTCTTTCGGAACAACACCAGTTTAAATCGAAACAAGTGCAATGTCAGCAGGTTTGGACTTAATCATATAAAAGTCGTTATGATTGTCTTGTTTTCTTGAAACAAGTTATTGGATTGAAGTATATAAACTGCCGATTCCTTATTACAAACATCAGTAAACATTCAACCACTTTTTTGGTTCACAAATAAAATCATCATGTTTACAAAGGTACTGCATATAAAAATGATCAACCAATAATGTGCTACTTTATTATTTTGTTACATAAATAAAATCAAAAAACATTTTTACTTCTTTAGATTACACTCATCGCCACTGTCGCGGTTGTAGCCGTCGCTGCTCAAAATCACCACCACGGCCAAGATCACGGTCACGCTTACTCGTCTCAGAGCATAGTACTTCATCAAACCCACGAAGACAAGCAAGCTCCCGCTCACCATCAGGAGTATCACCACGATCATCACGATGCATATCACCATGGCCACCACGAAGAACACAACCATGGACACCACCAGGCACAACATGTAGAAAACCATGGTCATCATGAGCAACATGACAATGAACACTACGGACACGCCTACTCATCACAAAACCTTAAGCAGCACCATGACGGACACGTGACTAAACACGTCGAAAACTATGTATGTATGATACCATTAAGATCATTTATATTTGGTTGGATAAAAATGTATATACTTATTAAAACTGCATGTTATATAGGCCCATCCCATATATGAGTTCGCCTACGAAGTGAAGGATCCCCACACTCACGACCACAAGTACCAGCACGAGCACCGCGACGGTGACGTCGTAAAGGGTGAATACGGCCTGGACCAGCCCGATGGTACCGTAAGGATTGTGAAGTATTACGCAGACAAAAAGAGCGGGTGAGTGAATAAGTGAACTACAAACTAATTATCTATATATTTATAATTTATTTGATTAACGGTTTGTTTTTCTTAACAGGTTCCATGCAGATGTGAAGTACGAGGGTCATGCTAAACACATTGTTCCTGAACATCATCATCATCACTGAGCATTACATACGTTTTATAACACTGTTATTGTTTTAAATTTACTGTTTTGTTAACATATTCTTACACTTATTGTTTGTATGAAAAAATAAAAAATAAATCCATTTTCAACATTATGTTGTTTCATAAAAAAAAATGATACTACATTTACGTCACATCATATAGACTGATCATTTTTGTCAGACAGCGCGGAAAGGTGTCCTTTTTTTGTAGACGGGTAAATTTCATCGCGTCTCGAATTTTTTGGTGACAGGAGCTAGGTGTATGTGGGGTTTTAACTAAAAGCCACCCAGAAGACTAGCGTCAGGCACCCTACTCTGATGCGAACCTGGTTAATGACGTGTGATTTCAAGGAACGGGTATCATGTCCCTCCAACACAAAGGGAGGATCATCTAACCAGGCGAGGTGATCATGCCAGGTGGGCCGCAGTCCAACAGTCGGTGTTGGAAAGTTGTAAATATATCAATCCGCTTGAGAACTCTTCATATCGCGAAACAGGATTAGCAGTTACTACGTAATTCACTGTGTCTTTAATAGGTGGCGCTATAGTATGTTTTATTGGTTTTCACCGTCTGTGGAAGTCGCCACACACCTAACTATCTAATATATTAATATAATACATATTTTTAAATACATATTTTCCAATACTAATCTATACTAATATTAATAGCCGAACAGTTTGTTACTTTGGTTGATCACGGTAATCTCTAGAGATCGAATCGAATCGAGATCTCCCACTATAACGAATTAAAAAATAAAATATTTCAGTGTTGGATACGCCATTTACCATTACAATGTGCCATAATATAACATCACGCTACGACCAATAAAAACCGAGGGTCAATGAAAAATGATGCAGAAAAGGTGTAAATTTATTCCATTTAAAAGAAGCAGATGAAGTTGCGCGGGTCAGCTGCTACAGTTATAATCAGATTTTACCTCTTTTTTAAATTTGTTTAAACGGTTTTACTGACATGTGCTTTTTTGGGGATCCTTAGTTTGGGATAGCACTTATTTCGAAATACATACATAAGTGAGTAAAGCCAAACATATCTATATCTTTACCTTTCTCTCCACTATCAAAAACACTAACTATAGTATGCATACAAAGGTTGCCAATAATTTCATTACAACTTTTTGTATATTATCTATTATCATTTCGCAAACACTGCATACTAATTTTGTTTATAATTTGAACGGGCCCGTGCAGTATCCACTTATAGTGAAATCAGTATTACCTTGACTAGTTTGTTATTGATATAAAAGACATTGAATTTTATGACAATGTATCAGTTCACTATTGGTGTTAGAATCATTCAAACAAACAGCAACTTCGAACATTAAATTCAAAATGATCTCAAAGGTAAAAAGTTACATGTAACAGTCCTGTATCTATAAATATAATGCACATGATTACAGTCTTCTCTTGGAGTGTGCATACTCTTCAAGTTTATGTAACTTTAAACAATAAATCTTATTTATATTTCTAGATTCTATTCCTCGTAGTAGTGGTCATTTCTCTGGAGGGTGTGCTTAGCCACGGTCATGGATACTCCTCCCAATTTATCCATCGCCATGATGGTCCCGCACATCCCGTTCACATATCCGGTCATGATCACGGTCACGGACATGGGCACGCAGTTGACTATCACGTAAGTGCTAAATTGCAGTCAACAATAAAAAACAAATAGATTTAATTGAAAAAAATTACAAGTGATTACGAGTTTATCTATCTTACCAATATTCTCCAGCCATAAATGGGAAATTTATAATTCTAATGTATTTTGTTATTATGTTTGGACCATGTTTTGAGCATCTTTTTAAACATCTAATTGTAAATATTATATTTTATAGGCATACCCCAAATATGAATTTGGCTACAAAGTAGAAGACCCTCACACCGGTGACATCAAATCTCAACACGAGCATCGCGACGGTGACTATGTCAAAGGATACTATGCTCTGCATCAGCCCGACGGCTCTGTAAGACACGTAGAATATCATGGTGATAAGCATTCTGGGTATGTATTTAGTCGTGCCTTCTATTTTTATATTTTTTAATAAGATAAAGTGATATCTGTCTTTTTTTGAACTTGTGAAAAACCTTTTAATATATTAGCACTGGGTTCGCAATTCTATAATCATCACTAATAGGAGGCTCGTGAAATGAAAATGTGCTGTTGACTTTGTCCAAATGATCATTGTTATTCTTAATTCGCATTCTTGGTAACCAAAAAGTTTTGACTAACGATTTCTTTGTAATGTTTATTTAGTTATGTTTATTTGCCATATGAAGTTTTACTTTTACATATTCTCATAATGAATAATAAACCTTCTAAACCTATTCCTGGGTCGCAAAATCCTGGCGATATCGAAGTCGCATGTGTTGCCCCCATCTTCCACGCGATGGACCCGGCACTCGCACGGTGAATCCATGTAACGCTAAGAAATAGGTATCACTACTACATTTTTCATGGTATTGGGGGGCAATCGAGCAGACGGGTCACATGAGGTTAAGTGACTCTAGTCGGCCTTGGACACCTGCACCTCAAGAGTCACAAGTGCGTTGCTACCCTTTCAATCCTTCCCCCCAGAATAATAATATAATAATAATAACCTCATATATCTCACACACGGCTGTCTGATTCCAAACTAGGCAGAGCCTGTGCTGTGGTAAAAAGACTGCTGAGTAACATACTTATATATTTCTAAATACATATATACTACAGATAAATGAAACCCAGACACAAAACAAATCATCGTGCTCATCACACAATTATTCCACCAACTTAGCAGTCAGGGTCACTTACTACTAGACCAACAGGCCCGTCTAGATTGGGGGGGGTGAGGAAGGGTTTGGTCTCCAGTATTCTCACTCACTCGTTTAGAAGTAACGAAAGAACTGCTCAACACTGGTTTCTGTGAGGCCGTGGTGTCACTCCGGTCAAACTTAGTCCATTTATGCCGAAACATGGGTCTCTTATTTTTTACTACAGAAATTTTATATAACACTTTTTTTACAGTTTCCACGCTGATGTGAAGCACGGCACCCACCACATCGTACCCCACCACAACAATCATCACTACTGAACTCTTAATTTAATTTTTGTACCTTCTGTGATCTATCGTTATGTCTTAATTGTTATTTAGTACAAAATATAAGACTTTATACAGACTTTATTACGATGTTTTTATTTACTACATACAATTATCTTAAATATTGTCTAGTTTAGTAAAGAAATGTCATCAGACTCAATTTCGGAACTTCGTAATCATGCATCAAAATTCACGTACTGTATTTACCATACAAAAATAGCTAATCCGAATAATCAACAGAAAACAAACCGACAGTTATAAACTACATTTCCAAAAACACAAATTGTTAACCCTTACCTGCTTGTACATTTTCGAAATCTGCAAATTCGTTCGCAAATACCCCCAATAATATACCACTCGTAAAGAGATTCAAACAAAAACACAATAATATACTAAATCCACCTACATTCTGATTGAAGATACAGTCGTCTAGCTCTCTAACCATGTCAATCAAAGTATATAATAAATTACCAAAACACATTAAAGAAAAAAATAATACAAATACATTTTCAAACAATTTCAAACATTTTCTGGAAATAAAATGTTGCTTAAAATAATTTAATTAAAAAAATATTTAAAAAAAAGACACACAAAATCAATAAAAAGTATAATATCAGCCTAAATATATGTTATTAAATAGAAATCTATTTCTTACATATATTATTATATATTACATAAAATAAATATAAAAGTATATAAAATTAGTTTTTACTTGTGTGCACAAATGTATATTAAGTAATGGTATGTATATTAAGCTAGTAGCAACAGATTTTTCACCACGGTCGCATCCTTCTGTGAAAAAGATCTCCACTTGTACCCACAGTGTGGCCACAGGTGATGGGACGAGTTTCCTCCTTTACTCGGTGTAATAGCCAACCGCGAGACGGCGATGTCCGCATGTCCTTGGACGTCGATAAATATATCGTGTAGTTATTTTAATTTTAATACACGGCCCCACCGCAAAATCCGGCGGAGTGAAGGCTCAAAGGGAATTCTACACGTACTTAATTACAAAAAAGCTAATTGGTCATTTTATGACCTGATCACAATGGGCGCTTACCCGGTGTGGCTTTATTATGTGTATATAGGTGAATATATTAGAAACTTTTCACGTGTTTCTTAGTAATATGTACGCATAGCATAAATTTCAAGTTGCCCAGCAATAAAACTTTAAAATGTGATCAATCTTACTGATTTTTAAAATAAGAGTACGTAATTAAAGCGTTCATTCCTAATCGGTTTGCTAAGAACATAAATGCTAATTTTTAATATTTTCGGTAGATTATGTAATCTTTTCTTGCAAATAGTATATATTTTAGAATTGTAAAAGCGGTGTTATTATGTACATTAAACATATTATTTTCAGAAATTATTTTATCTAGACTATTTAGATGTTATGACCAAGGAATGG